CAATAGCAACAAACAGTGCTGGTGCTCCTTCAATTAGGAATCCATCCCCAAGTCATTGTTCCCCTATTTGGTTGATAATTTTAAATTCTAGACCTCTAAGAAAAATTTTGCAGAATCCTTTTATTGGCTCTCCAGCCTTCAAAATGTCTTCTCTTAAAGAGGTCCTTGACAGGAACCCAGGAGATCCTTTTTTTTTTTTTAATTTAGAATCGGTAAATCGTCCATGGGTTTCTTTGCAAGAGTGGTTGTTTGAATAGTTTTTAGCCATGCCACACTCTTCTGTGCAAGTGAGGAACTGGCTGAGTTGGCTGCAGACCCCTACAATGGGTCTGTGACTGACCAGGGTACATTCTCACCTGGTCATGCTCTCAGGCAATACCACAGGAATATTAGCTCTTCTTACCTGCCCCTCCATTGGCATGAGGCAAGCCCTTACTGAAGGAGCAAGGGAAGGGGTGAGGGCAGGTCTTTGAAGGCTAGCCGAAATTCCTACTATGGGCTCAGACAGAGGCCCTGCCTTCTCAGTGGTCTCCTGCCCCCTCGAAGATTCAGAATTGGCCCTCCTTCTCCCTTCTGCCACTTTAAACACCCACAGTTGGAGCTCCAGGAATGTTATTCTTTTCCATTTAAAGACATCATTTCATGTGTAATTAAATGTGTGGTATTGAATTAATGTTTTCTTCGGAGTCTTTTTTGGCAGCCTGAGACCCTAGGGTCTGGTTAGTGCAAAGAAAACACACGCTTCTCAGTGATCCTCCCTTCCTCTTTCTGTTTCCTCTTTCCCTCTCTTCTGCCAAGAATCTCCCTCCTCCATCATGCACACAGTCACCCTCAGGACTCACCTTGTAATGGGTGGAGACTATTTGTTCCTTGGTGGGGCAGTGGGGTCTTGGATTTCTGCCTTCTGGTGCCATCTTTATTTCCAAAAGGCATCTCAGCTGCTCATGTTGTGCTCAGGTGGTAGCAAGAACAATTTCCATGATGAGATGAAACACTCTTTTTATCTATGTTATTGGTTTCCACCAAGCACTGATGCCAGTTCAGAAAGCAGAGCCTCATTCTGCATTAGGAGTTGCAGGAGTGAGGGGGCTGCCATGACCAATGGATGGCCTGCTTAGTCTAGCCTTTAGCTTCCCACAGGTCTTGCCTAACAGCTAGGGGATCTTGAAGTTTAAGTTACTTAATTACTGTGAGCTTCAGTTCCCTCATCTGTAGTGCAGGGATAGCAACATGCCGTGTTTAAGAGAGTTGTAGAGATGAACGAGACAATGTGTGTCCAGCCTGGTACCTGGTTCAGGGTAAGTGCTCATTGATAACAGCTATTTTTATTATTAATAAGGGCACAGAGGGATAACAATAAGCTAAAGAGATAAGTACAGAGTGAGATGGAGTTCACAAAGGAAAGATCTGAGAGGTCTCAGTGAAGAGGATAGAAACCAGTTAGGAACTGAGTATTAGAATGGGCCAGAAAAGAGGGAAGGCAGGATGGTGAGGAGCACCAACCAGGGGCCAGCCCTTAGACCTGTTTCTGAGCCTCTCAGGCCACCACCTTTAGGGAAGGACTGTCTCAGCTCTGTCCACGTGCATGGTCTCCAAACAGCAATTAGACAAAGCACCGAGGTGGCAAATGAATTTCTGTTAAGACAATCTGGGTCTGACTGAGAACGTACACTCACTTTTGGGATCAAATTTGCTGCTTCATGTACAGCAAAGTCAGGATTATCATTATTTATAACCACTGACCCTGGGAAATCTGGTTTTTCTCTACTGATCAATACCAATCTTGAGTAGGTGGCTGTCTCTGCCTTTTGATGTCTTTATTCCATTGTCTGACCAGCCTCCTCCCGCAAACTATTTTGGCCTTTGAAGGAGAAGGAGGTCGGACATGGTTAGACAGACTGCTGGTGACCCTTGAGTCAGGGCTGGCTCTTCCCTGGGCAACGTTGTGCCATTTTATTTGAGGAGAAAAATCATCATCCTTCAAGTTTCTTTCCAAACCACTATTGTGTTTGAGATAGGTTGAGCTCTTAGTCAAAATGAAAATCTTACAGAGAGGAAAGAAACACATTTGTTAGATGCCTGCAACATTTTGAATATTTTATATTGTCTCTATTATCTAAAAATTTAATGTCAGTTCTTTTTATAGTTTTGCCAAGTCAGTATTCATGTTCCCATTCCACAGATAAGGAGCTAGAGGCTTGGGGAGAATAGGATGCAATTAGGAATTGACAGAGTCACAATTCCAATACAGACTGTTTTTCAAAGCCTTCACCCTTTCAGAACTGATATTTTGGCAGGGTTTTTGTTGTTGTTGTTGTTCTCACTTCATCCATGGTCAGCAGGGCTGAGCAGTTTATGCCTCTTCTCTAATGCCCCTATTCCATTTTAGTTGCCTCTGATGTGATGTCAGTGTATCCTGTGGCCCCATGTATGGCCCCTGCCCGCCCCCAGTGAGGCAGCCCAGGTGAACAGAGGCAGGACAAGTAATAACCCCTGCCGGCCGGTTAACCTCTTAGGGCTCTGGGGTCTTCTGTCCAGAGATATGCAGTGACCTAACTGGATTAGAGATTCTAGTCTAAGTCAAGCTTGCTGCAGGCCGGGAAGACCTCCCAGAAGTGAATCCCACACATATGGAATAGTTATCTTGGTCCCCACTACAGAGGAAGAATTCTTGGAGCAGTCACTAAAACACAGAAATCCTCATTCTGTATTTGTGTCGGATGAGCCAGTTGTCCTGTGGGAACGGGAAGATCTACAGGTGGCTTCCTCTGGTGGAATCCTGTTGGTGGCTGTCTCGCACAAAGGAGTGAGGGAAGAGGCAGACCAAAGACCCCAGAAACCTTTGTTATTCTTCCCAAATCCCTCCCCATATGTAGCAGCAGCCCCCTGCCTTTTTCAGCAGCCCCTTCCCTGCTGGAAATTGGGAGGTCTTCCCACAGCCTGACTTTGTATTTCCCTCTCTGCCTCCCCGTCAATGTCTTGATGTCTGGGTCTTGTGACCCAGACTTTGCTGGGCCAGCCAGCCAGGCAGTAAAAGGAGATTGATGCCCTCTCCTCTTAGGAAAATCCATCACTTTTTGGCATGCAGGTCAGATGGCTTCACCAGAGCTAACTCTGGCAGCACTGTGTGAGCTAAAAGTACACACAGGCAGGGACCCATAGAAATGCGTGGACATCAGAAATGAAACAACTAATCCAGCCATTCCCCAGGGACTGAGCAGAAGCTTTTTCTCCCTCAGTCACACCCTCCTTCCCAGAGCTTTGTCTGCTCTGTGTAGTCTCCGGAGGGTGGGGAGGAGGAGCACTCTTGTCCTTTCCCTTGGGAAGAGGCTGTAGTAGATGAACTGGGTAAGGATAAGCTCGGCAGTGGAAGATGGAGGGTTGAGCATCTGTGGACTGGCTCATTTCCATGGTCATAAAGTTGAGGAGGACAGAGTGAAGGCAACTGAATGTAAAGGAAAGAATACAGGCTTGCAGACCAGACCATGAAAAGGAGAGAGAGTCCTTCACTGGTCACTTTTTCTTCTATGAATTTGGAAAGTTACCCCTGCTTCTGTTTCCTCCTCTGTGAAAGGGGTTCAGTAACACTTACCTCTCAGGGTTGTTATGAGAATCAAGTATTGAATACATATTAAGATTGGGTACAAATTAATTCCCTCTGCTCTACTTCTTCCATGGTAGGTTCAGAAAAAGAAGCTGCTCAGATGGTATTTTGGAGTCTAGAGTCTTGTTGGTGCATGGGACTGTCCACATGGAAGTGATTTGCCTTGAATCTGGCCCAAATCCAGTACTCTCTGCCAAAGCTCCCTGGTTGCCTCACAAGCTTCTTATTCCCATGGCTGGGAACAAGTTCTCTCCTGAGGGAGAATTTATGGTGGGATGGAATCTGTTCTCAGCTCTCACCTCCTTATCCAGGACTAAGCACAGGTATTAGTGTCAAAATACATTCACTCAGGAGAAAACTAGAATGAGACAAGGCTTTTTTTGTTCTGTGCCACTGAGTATTTCCACGTTCCTGAGAAAGGTCCTTTTGCACATTTGGGGAAGATACTTTGGCCCATGGGAGGCTTCTGCTCAGCCCTTTTCATGTGGTTGCAGAGAACAGACTTGCTTCCGGTAATGTGGTCATCTGCCCCCTGCCACCTTCAAGGCTCACAGAGGCCCGAGTTTCCCTTCCTGCAGCTAGGAGTTTGCAGCTGCTGCCAGACTCTCAACTCTTGGGATATAGAGGGAGGGTTGGGAAACCACTCCCTGTATGCTGTTCCCATGTGTCTTGTCTGAGCCTTTCGGGGCCTGATATTCTTGGTTCCAAGGGAGGGAAAGGAGAAAGAAGGGTTCTAAGATGGGACTCAGGCACAACAGCTGGAAAACAGAGCACTGCTTTCTGTCAAGACCCTTCATTCCCATTTTGCATTCACCGTAGCTGGGAGTGAGAAGTTCTTAGGAAAACTGGTGAGTCTCCCAGCCCAGAGCTTGACTTAAGAACACGGGAAAATATATAACATTGGTTTGTCTTTGCACAGATGTTTTCAGAACATAAGGAGGCAAGAGAGGCATGATTCCTATGGCTTGGATGGGAAGTGGAGCCTCTGAGGGGGCACTTGACTCTAGCTTAGGTCACAGGGCTAGGGAAGAGGGAGGAGCTTGGAGGTGAGTTCAGGACTCCTGAGCACCTCCTGGTCTTCTGGAAGTGAGGCATGACTGAACTATTTGTGGGCATGGTAGTTGTTGAGACCAGATGGTAAAGGTGAATGTCTTTCTTCAGCTGGCTAATTTCTTACGCCACCGAAGAAGCCCTGTTCCAGTGCTTCTCAAAATGTGGTTCTTACACCAGCAGCACCTGGGAACTTGGAAATGCATATTCTCAGGCCCCAACTCAGACCTACTGGACTGGAATCTCTGGGGGAGAAGCCCAGTAATCTGTTTCAACAAGCCTTCTAGGTGATTCTGATGCATGCTCAAGTTTCAGAACAACTTCCCTATTGCAGTGCAGAGGGACGATGGCATTGGGGTGGAATCTGGGGCCAAAGGAGGCTCTTCCTCATTTGACTTGGCTACACCAGCATGTCCTTATACTCTGGATTCCATGCTCAACTCAGCCAGCAGGTGGGGATGCCTGACTGGGCCCTGGTTTCCCCTTTCTGTGAGATATCAGTATCAATAATGATGAAAATATTAAAACACAGCCTGCATTCTGGAGGACTTAAAAGTTTACAGACTTCCATGCTCAGGTGATAGGTAAGTAGAACTTTACATTATCTCCCTATGCCCATTTGACAGATCAGGAATTTGAGACCCAAGATTTTTTACTTTGTTTTGTGAGGTGCCCAAGCCCTTGGAGGATCCAGGTCTTGAAACAAGCCCTCTGGCTTTCCATCCCTTACTAATCCCTGCATATTCAGAGGCATGGGGTCGACAATGTGTGACAGCCATCACCAGCCCCATCTTCACTCCTGGGCCATGCCAGGACACTCATCTTGCAGCCGCCCATGCGTGAGTCATCACCAGCCACCTGGGAACAATCAGGCAGCGGGAGGAGATAGCCTCTGTAGAGAGAGGTCCTGACCTCCCATTTTCTCTTAGTGGGAGACTCTTTAGCCTGTCCCTCCAACACCAACAAATACCATTCCATAGAGGCTGGGAAATGGAAAGAGAGGGTATGCAGAAGAAAACCAATGTTAATCCCCTTGCTGTTAAGACTGGGGTATAGTCCTGCAGCAAGCGGCAGCCGCATTGCGGCCCTGTGACCTGGGAGGAGCAGCCACGGGCAGCTGTTGACCTGCAGGTCTGTCTTCGAGGGGAGGAGAAATGATGGTCAGCAAATGCTTTCTCCCACAAATCCTTGCTGGGCAGATCATCTGGGACACTGTGGATACCAAGAACTCTGACAGAAAAAAAAAAGATTTGTGTAGTCTATTCTGAAAGAAATGCCCAAACTAGCCAGAGCCCTACCCCAAGCCTTCCAGCCATGCACCTCTGTCCCTCCTGCGACTCCTCACTCATGGGGACAGTCTGCCGTGGTTCTGGATTTTCAGCTTTCATTTTTCAACAAAGTCATTTGGGACAATCCTCTTCCTGGCTCTGCAAAGCTCTTCACAATGTGAATACAGGTATTTAATGGGCTTCTGCCTGTTGAACAATTAACGTGAAGGTCAGTGAGTAATAATCTCGGGCACTCTCCTTTCCTGGCCAGCCCACTGCTTGTACAACTCCTGCATAGCATTCTTTCCAAATAGGTGGGAGGGCTGGGGGCACAGCTCTGCTTTCTCCTGGCAGACAGACTTTAATTAGGTTGCTAAATTAGCAGAGACTGTTGCAACCCTTCTCTGTGCTCAGACCTTATTCTGGGGCCAGCTCTGAACTTGCCTTTTGTGAACTCATTGGTCTTTCTCTCTTGCAGAGGAGAAGGGTTGGCCAAGCAGAGGTTTCCCCCAGATAATTTTAGCTACCCCTCAGTAGTCTCTATCATGTACCAAGCACTGTGCCACTGTGCTGGGTGTGTGTGTGTGTGTGCGTGTGTGTGTGTGTGTGTGTCTTTATTTTGTCCCAGACACCAAGCCAAGCTCTTTACATGGATTATTTTATTTAATCTTCACAAGAATTCAGCAAGGAAAATGTTCTTGTTAATCCCATTTTACAGATGAGGAAATCGAGACTCTGGGGTTAAATTACTTTCCCAAACTCAAAAAAAAAAAAAAAAAAAAAAGGGGAGTGGAGGCAAGATGCAAAGTGGATTCTCAACCACACCCTGAAAACCTTGCTATTCAAAGTGCAACCAACCACACATAGACATCACCTGGGAGTTTGTAGAAATGTAGATTCTCAGATCCACTGACTCAGAATCTGCATTTTAACAAGATCCCTAGAGGATTCATGGACATAGTAACTGTGGAGACTGCTTTATGCTCTTTCCAACAACTATAGCAAATTAATACCAGAATCCTGTGCATTAACTACTATAGATTCTGTTTTCCAGCAGAGGAAGCTGTAGTTTAGAGGTGAGGAGTGAGTCAGTGGCAGCCCTGAGACCTGTTTCTAGGTCAGACTCTCAAATCACAGGGCGATATCGGTTTTTGTGCCAAAGTTGTGGTGCTAGTTTGTCTTTTTCTGTCATGGGCTCAGAACCAGGTTCTCCACCCTAGACCACTGTGCTTTCCTATCTCCCTGTGCCACCAACAGAAACAAGTGACTTCACTGCCCTCCTCTCTATCCCCTCCTGTAGATGTGCAGCACATTAAGAGGAGAGACATCGTGTTGAAGCGAGAACTGGGTGAGGGAGCCTTTGGAAAGGTCTTCCTGGCCGAGTGCTACAACCTCAGTCCCACCAAGGACAAGATGCTCGTGGCTGTGAAGGTAAATCCCCAAGGCACATGGGCACCAGGAAGAGGGATGGTTGAAGGCCTGGGAGGGCTGGGAGAGTATCACTCCATTTGAGAAGATGGTGAGCAATTGGCTTTCTCAGATGCAAATAGGGGACCTTACTCTGAGGTCAATGATGTTTCCTCTGGACCAGAACTGACTTCCTTTAGCTTCTGAGGTCAAAAGCTGCAGTACTTAAGGAAACTATGCTGGGAGCAAGTTATGCCTGTGAACAACCTTGGTTTTATTTTGGTGGCCCTAGGCTCACCCTTGTCCCAGGGCTGGCCTTCCACCCTCCTCAGCAGTTCTGTAGGATGCGCTGTCTGTGCCTGGAAGGTCACTTGACCATCATTCACAGTAGAGCTCACATAGGGTGTGCTGTTCAAGGTGTCCTAGGGGCCACTACTCAGGGACATGGACATCACTGGGGACAGAAGGAGTAGGAGTAGGGGTAAGGCAGGCAGAGGTTTAGCACTGGGAAAATAGTAAGTGAGGTTGAAGACATTTTTAGATTCTTCTGTGGGATTCAGGTTCACACCCCAAGGGGCAATGTGCCCAGGAATAACTTCCTCCTGGCAGCTTCCGGATGGCATCCTTCACCACAAGCCTGGCAGATTTGCAGCAGAAGATGAATTGCTTGGGGCAGTAGAAATGTAGGTTTCCATTGGCCCTCTCCTGGCCTTCCTCCAGCAGTGAGTAGCTGCTCTTTGTATACCAATGTCGGACAAATCTTTGAACGTGGTTGATACAAACAAGAGTAGTAACCTCACAAAGGCACCCACAGGTGTCTAGAGTCCTGCTCTGGAGGCTGGAGCATGGAGTGGCTTCCTTGGGTGCAGAGACATGCTTCTGAGGTCAGTGTGGAGTCTGCACAATGTCCTGAGATATGGGCTAATCATGGACTGGGAGTGAGAGGTGTGGCCCACTGAGAGGACACTCACCTGGACTTCAAAAGGGTCCCTTCTTCAGCACTGAGGGTTATGACTGAAATTTTATCATGAAGGGAGTTTCTTATTTCTGTGACTTCTCTGTATTCATAGTCTGTGTATCTGCAGATTGTTCCTGCTCACAGAGGGTACCTGGCCTCCACGGATGCAGGCAGTGTAGTGTGGAGGACAGATGGTCTCCATGGGCACCACATGGGACCAGAGAGTCTGCAACCATAGAGAAGCTGGGTGACTGCGCAAGACACTTAACCTCTTTGGGCCTCAGTTTTCTTCCTTTTTTTTTTTTTTTTTGAGTTGGAGTCTCACTCTGTCGCCCAGACTGGAGTGCAGTGGCTGCTCCCGGCCCCCGCAACCTTGACCTGCTGGGCTCCAGTGATCCTGCCACCTCAGCCTTCCAAGTAGCCGGAATTACAGGCATGCGCTACCACGCCCGGTTGATTTTTTGCTTTATTGTAGAGATGAGGTCTCGCTGCCCAGGCGGGTCTCGAACCCACGGGCTCAGGCAATCCACTCACCTCAGCCTCCCAAAGACATGGGACTACAGGCTGAGCTACCGAGTCCGGCTGGGCCTCAGTTTTCGTATCAGTTTAATAAGAATTATAATATCGTCTCCTTAGAATGTTGGTGATTAAATTACATAATGTGTGTAAAATCCTTAACTCACTGCCTGGGATTTATGCATTTTTATTTTATTTTTATTTTAAAGATGTGGGGTACAATTCAGGGTTAGGTATACAAATGTTCATTATGCATGTACCCTTGTTGATGAGGTGTACCCCTCCCCCCACTGGCAAATTCCCACTAATGCCAATTATGCTTTTTTTTTTTTAAAAAAAAGAGACAGGGCCTCACTATGCTGATCAGGCTTAGATTCAAACTCCTGGGCTTAATTGATTCTCCTACCTCAGCCTCCAGAGTAACTGGGACTATAAGGACTGTTTGAGACTTAGTAAATGTTGTTATTTATTTTTATCATTATCATTATTATGGATGTTGACTTAGACAGATGACATATGGCCTGTCAAATTCCCTCACCTATCTAGAATAGGGGTCATCAAAGTTTTTCGCTAAAGGGCCAGATAGTAAATACTTCAGTCTTTGAGGATCCTATCCTCTCCATTGCAACTACTCAACTCTGCCCCTGTTGTTGGAAAGCAACATAAACAATACATTAACTAATGAACGTGGCTGTTTTCCAATGTATACACTTTTTTAAACAAAAATAAGCATCGTTTTCTGACCTCTGTTCTAGAAAATAAATAAGGTACTAGATACTGTACCTAAAAGACCAATGATTACTATTAATGGACATTGAAGAACTTGCTGAGTGTGTCTCCATGGTCATGGAATGGCCAGATGAGTGATGATGTCTTCAAACAACTTGGACCAGGGATGTGGAAAGGTTTCTAATTTTGTCCCTATACTTAGAATCTGTATTTCCTGGCACTTTTTTTAAAATTAAAATTTAATTTTTATTTTAGAGTATGGGGTACAGATGAGATTTTACCACATAAGTAAGTTGAAGTTTGATCTTCTGGCTGGCCCATTCTCCTCTGATAGTGGACCTGGTACCCAGTGGGTTGCCATGCCCTTCCCCACCTCCTTCCCCTCCCCAATGCCCCAACACTTTTAACATATAGGATGACACTAATCCACTGGGTGTTCCAGCATCCATCTGGGGTCTGGTGAATGAGCTGAACACTTTTGCACTTTGAGCAGAAAAAGAAATAATGGCTGAAGACCCTGGGAAATGTTTCCCCTGCGTAATCTGGCATTAAGGGTAGTACTCAGACTGGGTGATACAGAAAGGTGTTTCTGTCTTCATCCCTTAAAAGGTTCTTTCTCTCCTTGTCTTTGGGAAATTCAAGGAGAAGAGCACTCTGGGATTTTATACCATTTGCCACTTAGTGGGTCTGCCTAGCCATCATTGCTGGAAAAGACACCTTTCTTCTGCAGATAACATCCCAGGAGTGGCGTATCCTGCTCTCTGCCCTATAGAGTTCAGTCCTTTTTTGCAAGGTCCTTCCTCTTGAGTTAGTTTTTAAGTTGGTGCAGGGTAATCTTGTTCTTCTAGAGAACACCTACAAGTATAGCACCTACAAGTATAAGTTTTCTCAAAATTGTGATTTTAAATCAATTGGCAAGAATGTTTTGCCCAACAGTTGCTATGGTGCAAACAAAGGAGCAGAAATAACAGTTTGTTTTTGCAGCTTGCTGGGGAGACTGGAGGAATGTCCATGAGAGAAAGGGGAGCAGGACAGGACACAGTATAATCTGTACAGAGTAGTGTAAATGTGATGTTAAAAATGTAGCACATGAGTTTTTTTAAATGAGTGGGGCCACTCTTAAATAGTCGTTGGATAAACAGAACTTTTATACAGCATTCAAACCCAGGCAACCTGCTTTCTTACCAGAGGAGGCCCTCCTTGATGATTTTTCTATTTTTCTTCTCTGTTGTTTCATGTTCTGCTGTGAGTGAGCCTCAGTGGTCTTCCAATTTATGACTCCTTCTTGTGGTTTTATCTGGTCTGGAGTTTTTTCAGTCTATGGAGGTTTTTGTTGTAATTTCAATGACCATGTCTTTTATTTCCAAGTTATCTAATTGCTTCTTCATTTTATTGTTATCTTAATTTTATTTCTTTCTGTTCTTGCTGCATACCTTCTTATTTTAAAAATAATGATTATTTATTTATTCTCTTTAAGCATTTGCTTATTTTAAAATATTTATGGGCCCATTCCTATAAAATTTACTTGTCTGTAGGAAATCCTTGCTCTGGTTGTAGACAATTTTAGTCATTTAGATTTTAGCATTATATTTCTTCCAAGATGTCTGAACTTCAGCTTTTGTGTTCTTTTTGATTTGGAGGATTTTCTTTTTTGATTTTTTATTGGGTGTTCATAATTTCTAGTTTCAATTACTTTAAGTTGGAGCAGGAGCTTAAAACATTTGTGAAGCAATCTGAGTGTAGAATGTCAGATTTTTATGATTTTCCCAATTTTTAAAATAGTTTTGCCTTCCACTCTTAACAGTATTTTTAACCACTGGCTTTCAAAAGCTTTCATTACATAAAAACTCTCAATCTGCACTCATATTTCATTGGTTTCTAGAGCAGTTCATTACATTCATTGAGTAATTACATTAACAGGTTTAACTGTCATGAATGAATTTGGGAACAATCACAGCCTATTCTTGGCAAGTTTTTGGCAAGTCTCTCTCTGGGACAAAAATGTCTCCTTGGATATACAACTATCAGGGAGGATTTAGGATCTCACATTCGCAGAGGTCATGGGCAGTGCCTGTTCTCTGGTCTATCACTTGGATGCCACTCAGTGGAGAGTTTTCTAACCAAAGCAACAACAAAGGCCCAGAGGCAGAAAAAAGTTTGGAAGGTACAAGAGACAAAGGCCAATGAGACTGAAGTATGAGGGAGAGCCCCCAATTTATTTATAAAAAATTGTGGTTTTTTGTCTTACATGTTTAAACGTCAGTTACCTTCAAAGGACTCGCCATTTGATGCAATAAACCTATCAAGATGCATTTTCCATTGCTCAAAACAGTTTTTGAACTTGTCCATTTTGATGCCTTTTAGGGCTTCTGTCGTTTTTTGTTTTGTCTCTTCCACATCGGCAAAACATTTTCCTTTGAGGAGGACTTTTTCATTCGGGGAACAAAATAAGTTGTTCTGGGTGAGATCCAGTGAATAGGGAGAGTAGAGGACGGGGGTCATGCCATTTTTGGTTAAAAATGCTGAACACTTAGCGTGGTATGGGCAGGTGTACTCATAAATCACCCATCAAGAAAAGGGTAAATGTATTGAAGGAATCTCCAAAAACAAATTTACTGAGGATAAACGCAGCCTCTTGCAACAACACTTGCTGGTACACTTATGCCATTAGGTTTCTAGAACACTTACCTAGTGGGGGGGAAACCTGAACTACAAGGGGCCTGCCCTCCAAAAGATAATTCTGGGTTTTTGGGGTCCCCCTTCTTATAATGAATGAGAGAGGAGTGTGTAGGAGGAGAGGAGGCAAAGACAGATGGGGACACCAGACCTCTAGAGTCCATGACCGTGTTAAGGAGTTTGGATTTTATCCTAAAAACAATGGGAAGCCAATGGCCAGCTTTAACCCAGGAAAACCGAAGAGAGAGGGTCACCCATGTGATAATTACCCATCTTCTTCCCGGTAAAGTTATTTGGGAATCTCACCAAGGGGAAGTGACAGTGGGTTTTGAGGGACTAAATAAAGGTGATTTGTATAACTAAAGGGGGGTGATTGGGGCATATGTGTGTTTAATCATTTGGAACTTTGAACATTCAGGAATGTGCGCATCTCTATGTAAACTATAAAATGGATTTCAGGGTATTAATGAAATCTGAAACCAAACATCCTTTAAAATATTTCCCCCCAGCAAAAGAAAAAAAGGGGAAACAAAAGAACCCTTAGGTTGGACAAAAGGAGAAAATTAAATGACTGTGAAGGAGTTAGGAGCTGTTGGAAAGCTTGTGTTCCTCCTCTCTAGTCTGCTTTCCTTCCATCCAACTAAACAGCCTTCCTGAAACCGGTTCTTCCCCCAGGGCAGAGCTGGGGAACATGCCATCTGGTACACATAGAGGGGAAGACAAGAAAGAGAAATGTCCCCAAACTTTGGAAGAAAGAGAGGGAGGGAAGGAGAACAAATTCCACCTCTCCATTTTGTTGTGTGGGTACTGAACGAAGGGCCTACCCAGCAGCCTCTCTTTGGCAAGATGCGCCTCTCTGCACCACCAATTGCAGCTACTCCAAACACTCGTTCTGTCCCATGCCACGAGCTGGTGACCCATTTTGAGCCATGAAGAAGGTGTTGAATGTGGACTCCGCTGAGAGGAACCAGAGAGTGGTTGGCCCCCTTTTCCTCTTCGTTATTTTCCTCCTGTTGTCTCTGTCCTAACTGCATCAACTCCTGGGGGTGGGGCCACTTATAGCTCAGAGCCCCAATTACCACACCCCTCACTGGGCCAATTAGGTAAGAACCTCAGGCTTGACTCATGAACTGGAAAATACATCGAGAAGCCAGGGAGAAGAGGTGTGGAAGACCAAAAGAGAGGATGGTTGCTTTGTGCTCCATCCCCCAAATGAGGACCTCATATCTGCTTCACAGTGTAGGGTGCCAGCCTGGGGGACACTGGCTGGTACTGCTCCAGGACTGAGAGCGGAAATATCCCATGGCTGTCACTGACGTCCAGACTGTGGGAGAGAATGATTTAAAGAGATGGAAAGAGGCCATTTGGCTGGCCCCAAATTTGATCTACTTTTCCCTCTCATAAATCCAGCATTCACATAAATCTTTACATATTCTCCCATCCCACCCATGCTGGGTTCCTATTTTTTCCTTCTTCTTCATGAAAATAAATAAATCACTCTCAGTTATCCTATACCCACACCTCAGCCCGTGCAGCTCAGGACTACTGCTGGGAGCTGGGATACCAAGATGGGTTGTCTCTCACCATGACTCCAGAATATGCCAATGTCTTTGGTCTGGTTGTAGGTGGACACTACAGCCTATTTCTTTATTATTAGACAGCTTCCCAGAAAAGCAGCCTGAGTTGAACTGGAGAACACATGGAATCAGGTCTGGGCAAAACCAGCAGTAGGTTGAGAGAATGGGTCTCCTGCTTGCTTCTATTCTTGGCCTGCCTGGTGAACCTGGCACCCTCACTGGGCTTGGCTGCTCTGCTGGCAGCCCATGCCGCTTGTCTTTCCTCACCCTTTGATATTTTTTTCAGTCCTCTGCCCACCATTCCCTTAGGGACTTTTCTAGTAACTAATTCATCTGATTAATTAATTCAAGCAGGCATACTAACAGGAAAGTATCTTGGGCTCCAGACCCAAGCTATTACTTGTTGCATGATTTTTGGCAAACTAGTTGTCCCTTCTGAACCTCAGTTTTTGCTTCTGTAAAATGGGGGAAGTTGCACTAGATAACTTTCTACATTTTGTCAGCTTAAGAATCATTTAATCAAACACTTTTTTTGGGTGAAATCTTCAAATTAAAAAAAAAAAGGAAAAGTGGTGCTGGTTGAAGTTGGGTGAGGCTTAATTTCTCTCTGGCAGACCACACTCCCCAGGATGCCCCTAGAGGAATTGCTACTGAACTTGGGAGCACACTGAACCCCACCAGGAGATCACTGAGGTCCAGTCTAATTCTAAGATTTCTGCCATTTAAGATGCACGAATGTGGGCTGAGTCAAGGACAAGCTCAGCCTCAGTTTCTCCAACTCCAAAGGTGAACAGGAGAGCAGATGATATCCAGGTACCTTTTCATGCTAGGCCTCTGTCATCTCTGATGTGTACTAATGACTGAGAGGTTTGATGGACCCCAGATAAACTTATTTTTGCAGATTTACACTATTAAATGCTAGAGCCAAGGCAGTTGGTGAATTTCAGGTACTGGGACTGCAGTGGTAGGAGAAAGGTCTCCAGTTGGAGAGGCCTTTTGGCACTTGCATGCTCTGCAGGGGAGGTCAGCCAGCCTGGATAGCTAGAAAAGGCCAGGTACCTAGCAGAGAGAATGCAAACCAATCTCCAGTCTGTCAAGAATATCATTAACCTGAGAATGGTGAGCAAATGTCTCACTTCCTCATTGCCTCGCGTTGTGCCTATTGAGGATATTAAACTGTGTCAGTTAAAGAGAGTGCATGTTTGGGCCCTTTTGCCTCTGGCCTCATGGGGAGGCTGGAGAAATGGGGGAGTCCCCTTTGCACCGGCTGTTTCTTTGGCTGACAGGGCTTCTCCCCTTCAAAGATCTTTGTCTATTCTGGCCAGCTTTGCTGTGCTCCATGGCAGTGTCCTATCCGACGTCCCTCAGATGTGCTCTTCAGCTTTGGTCTTGTGGTCCCCTTCTAGTACTGAAAAATCCACACTTGCAATGTACATTCCTTCTCTGTAGTAATCTTTCTGTTCCCCATGGTCTGCACTTCTCCCTCACACTTGTGTCTCCCATCCCTACAATGACTGAATTGTGGCATTCTGGTGGCCCCAAGACTGTCCCATCTGCACTTGGAGTTTCAGCACTCTGCCTTGCCCTGGACATATCTGGGACTTCTGTCCATTAACCTCCACTGGTTTCTCCAAAACCTTATTAGGAGAACGCAAGTATATCCCAGAAACCACAGTGTTCACATTCCTCTGCAAATATAGACTCCTTCACAATCTGAAAACAAGGACTAGAAAGGACAAGGAGACTTTATTACGCTGTCTGCTCAATTTCCAGTAGGCTATGGGCATGTGCTAACTTACACAGTTAAAGCAATCAGGGTGGTGGATTTTACTTATTTATTTTAGCTGTGGGACCTTTTGTCCAGAGGAAACCTTATGTGTAGGGACTTTGGTAAGGTCTTCCACCTCACAATCCCACTGCTGCTACTTATACTCAACTGATATGGACATCATTTAAAATCACTGCTGAGAGCATAGGAAGTGGGTGTCAGAAAGGGGGTTTCTGTTTCTACAGGGATCAAAATGCTGAAGGAATAAGGGGTCAGACCTTGTGACTGAGATTGTGTCTCACTGTCTTTAAATTTCATTTAAAATCTTATTTATTGGGAACCCAGTGGAGTGTGGTGCAAGGTTTCTTCCCAGGAGAAGAAAAGATAGCCCGCTGCCCTGAAATTGCTAAAAGCTGGTGTCCTGTGTTTTTCCCAGGCCTTGAAGGATCCCACCCTGGCTGCACGGAAGGATTTCCAGAGGGAGGCTGAACTGCTCACCAACCTGCAGCATGAGCACATTGTCAAGTTCTATGGAGTATGCGGTGATGGGGACCCCCTCATTATGGTCTTTGAATACATGAAGCATGGAGATCTGAATAAGTTCCTCAGGTAAGCAAGGACTGTGGTCCTCCTCACCAGATCCCAGTCCCACTGAACCCGTGGGGTTTTCTTTGGAGTCAGAAATCATACATTTCCTTCTGAACATTAGAGTCTGAGGATGAGGAATAAGAAGCACACTTTTATTCTTATATATTGTATTGTCTGCATAGCAGCTGGATGCAGGCCTCTGTCCTTGATTTCTAGGAAAACAAGTTGAAGATGCCCTGAGCTCTTCTTCTGGATTCCAAAATGAATTGAGAAGATGAGCAGGATCCAAAATAGGTCCAAGAAGGAGCCCAGAGAACCTGCAAGTTTATGCCTTGCACCTCCGAGATTCTATAGCTACTTCTCTCAATGTTGCAAATAGCCTCTTCCTTTTGTACCTTAAGTTTCTCATGTGCAAAATGTGGCTAGTACCTTATACTCCTCTTGGAAACCTTGCCAGAGACTTCTTGATGATGAGTAAGAAGGTACCAGGCTACAAACTCATCAGGAACCAGAAAAGGTTGGAAAAAAGGGGGCAGACTTTCTCTGAATAAATTCTAGAACTGTGCTGTCTGGTACTTATGGCCATTTCAATTGAGATTTACACTAATAAAAGTTCCATAAAATGTAAAAGTTTAGTTCCTTGGTTACACTAACCACATTCCAAGTACTTGGTAGCGACATGCAGCTAGTTTCTATCATATTGGGCAATGCAGTATAAACATTTCCATCGATAGAAATTTCTATTGAATAGCATTTTTCTAAAAATAATGGATTTGTTATAAGAAGGTTTTCTCATGCCTGGAGCAAGATCACCTGGACGTTTAGAGGTTCTTGATGGAACTGGTAAGTGAATGGAAACTCAGCCAGAAGTTCTGGATGAATTTTCAGGGGTAGATCTTCCTTCCCCAGAGAAGACAGCATCTCATCACTAGTGCAGAATTAGGGCTTCTCTACCCACCACAGCTGCCACTTCCAAACTGACCAGAGGTAGAAGGGGCAGCTGTATGAAATTCTGTGGAACCCAGGGTCCCAGGAAGCAGGTTGAATGCTCAAGTTCTGTACACTTAGGGTGTGGTTTCTGCCACAACCACCATTTGAATCTCATTAAATTCTATGACCGAGAATGAGATTTCCAAAGTCCAAATATAGAAGACTCTAGCTCAGTCACCAAAAATTGGTAAGCATCTCCTTGAAGTGAGGGCATTCAGTAGGGTGTTGTGGTTTTGAAGGAGCAAGAAAAAGAGTTGGTACCAGATTATGGTCTGAAGGAGTTTCTGAACTCTGCTTATAAGTCAGGTTTCCACAAAGACGACCCAAGGATTACAAGTATTTGTAGGATATTATAAGCCTTCTAAAGCTGGATTTCAAATAAAATTGATTTCTTTCTTGGATAACTCCGCCCTTAGCATGAGACAGACTAGGGTTCACATCCTTGTCACAGCTAAGACTTGTCACGTCTTAGTTGTAAACTGGAGCAAGTTATTAAAACTTAATTTTCTCTCCTGGAAAATATGACTATTAATAACTACTTCACAGAGTTGTTGCTGTGAGTATGAAATGACTATATATGTATAATGCCTAGATAACTTTTGTGAGTAGTTTAGTGTTCAGCCTGTGGTAGCTGTTATTAAAATTATGACCATTATTTTATGAGAACTGTGAATTATGGCAGCTTTTAATATAGGTAACAGTTTCTCAATACTCTGAGCCTTCCTCTTCCTGTTTCAATTCCTCTGGGATCTAAGGGGCATACTCTACTTTCTAGCACATACTCTCCATAGATTCAGTGCCTCCAGCCCCAAGAGACACCAGCAGGGCTAAAGAGAGCTCTTGGATGCCTCTCTGCATCACTGTCATGCACAATAAAATAGAGAAGAAAAGAAAAGGGAGTATATGGAAGATAAAGAGTGAGAGGCCACAGTAAAGGCAAGGGGTGGGAGATGTAAAAAGAAGAAAAAGAAAAACACAACAGCAACAACAAAACCCAGAAAGAAATGCAGAAGATGAGGAGCAGTGCCAGCACCAGATAACACACCTCCTTCTCCGTGGTATAGGGAATGCATGCATGTGAACACAATTCTGTGAGGAGTTGCTGACACTCCTAAAACCTTGGTGTCTCTCCACGGGGTCCTTTCCTGAAGTCAGCATGAAGGAGTCTGTCCAAATCAAGGTTCAAGTTCCTGGGTCATGTTTTGGCAACACAATCTGGGCTTTAGCCTCCGCTGTTGACCAGGTTCCCATAGACACCATTAATCTGTCTTCCTTGGCTCTATCAGTCAAGGCTGAGCTTCTCCAGAACACGCCAAGACCAGAAACTCTTAGCAACAGGCCATACTAACCCATCCTGGTAGGTGGTTCATCAGCTGCTCTCACAAACACAGCCTCTATGACCCTCAGGCCTGCCCTATCTGCTCTCACATCTCCTTCATGTTGGTAGTATTTAGAGGCAGGCTGAGTGTACTCTCCTGGTAGACAGAAGCAAGGGCTTATCCAATGACCTCCTTCCTTGTGAACTGATGTAGCACCTCTCCTTCTGAGGAGGAGGTAGGCAGAGCCCACTTGAGATAGTAAAATGAATGTGCTTATATTTAATGGTGCCTTTCAGTAGAAATTGGAGAAGCAGTAAAGCAGGCAGAGGCCTTGCTGTAAACTGGGGCTCCTTGGTTCACAACTCCATAAATAAGAGTCCTGGGTATGGTTATGACTCATTGGGCTTTCTAGAAAAAAGAATGAATACTTAAAGTGACCAATATGAAAGAGTAAGATGTTAGGATGACAAATCCAGGCTTTTTTGGGGGGGAATGAAAGGGATCCTGGGGCTCCCCAGGCCTCTGCTTCAGGGTCAGAGGGTCTCCCTGCCAGACCCTAGTCCTAAGCAATGTGGTGGAGCGGTTAGGAGTGTGAACCCAATGGTGACCTACCACTCAAAAGTATGGCCAGCAGCATCAGCACCATGAGCTTGTGAGAAATGCAAATGATTGAGCTTGTCTAGCTAATCAGAATCCTAGAGGGCAGGGTCTAGGGACCTTATAATAAGCACTCATGATGCTCCTTTTGGAAGCCCTGCTTTGCATGTCTGGTTTCCAGTCCTGCCTCCTGATTACGCATATGGTCATTCTAGGATCTCTGGGGTGAGTGATCTGATCATTCCATGCCTCAATTTCTTTATTTCAAAATTTGGGTGGGGATTAAGTGAAGTACTATATTTAAAACAGTCAGAGTAGTGCTTGGCACATAGGACTGTGTGAGAGCTAGTTGTTCTTTAATTAATTATACTATTATATACATCTAGCACTTGGGAAACTCCTGGGTAGCAGTAAAATGTTAAAAAGAGTAGGTTTGCTCTCTGTTCCATTTGAATATATCTACTGTCATCTTAGATGGGAATCTGGTTGTAGAGTTTCATCCCTACCCACACTCATATAATATAGCTTTGAGTAGAGAGAAGTAGGCCATAGTCAGGCTGGAAAGGGAAATTTTATTCATTTCTGTGGTACATTCTAGAGGACAGGAAACCAAGAAGGCCTTTGCTCCTGATCTCCTGATTTCTCTCTGTTCCTTCTCTTCTCTCTATCCCCTCACAGAGCCCATGGACCAGATGCAATGATCCTTGTTGATGGACAGCCACGCCAGGCCAAGGGTGAGCTAGGGCTCTCTCAAATGCTCCACATTGCCAGTCAGATTGCCTCAGGCATGGTGTACCTGGCCTCCCAGCACTTCGTGCACAGGGACCTGGCTACAAGGAACTGCCTGGTTGGAGCCAACCTGCTGGTGAAGATTGGAGACTTTGGCATGTCCAGAGATGTCTACAGCACTGATTACTACAGGGTAAGCTGTAGGACTCAACAGCAGAGCTGGCGCCTTGCTTACATGTCTTTGTTTTTGTCCATTAATCCTGTCACTCTGGCACACATACAGACACACTCATGCCCAGACATGCACTCACCAGTTATCTTCTGGCCTGTCCTGCATCTTGACATACCTGTTTATTATTTCCTCAATAGCCCATTTCCCCTTTCCTCCTGGACATTTCACTGGATTGTATCTGTAAACTGCAATAGCATATGCATTATGTTCTTACTTGCATCTATACTCATTCTTTATGTAAACATACATATGTATGTGTATGCACAAATGCACACCCAGACAAGCCCAACTTGGTGCTACATTTTAACATCTCCCAATCCAGTCTTGGATCTAGCCTCATCCATGACACATTTTATTCTCTGAAATTATCTTTGTGGCCATGTATGAGTAAAAGTTATCTTGTTTAAAAGGTAGATCTTGATGAGAAGAGGAACCCAAAGTAGAGTAACAAAACGTGATTAAAATATTGCTGAGTAGATAGTCCAAATGGCTTAGGAAGGACGAGGAAAGAAAGCATGTTATCTTTTGTCAACTTTAGAGAGAGAAGAGGTTAGGCCTTAGAAATAGTTTTTTGATTGTAAGAGGAGCCATACTACTAGTTTTATTTTCATACAACTGCTACTTTACATTAGCAGGTATCATTTTTCTCCCAGACCCATTTTATTTCCCCAAGTCTTTGGGAATCTCCTTTTCATGAATCACTGAGTGTTTCTGACAGTGTTATTATTTCCAAGGAAAGGGTGAGTGGCTATGAGTGTCACTTATTCCAAAAAAGGGGAAATATAGGTGCAACCTGGGTCATAGAACACTGTGGGATATCTTCTGCAAACCGAATGGAAGACAGAGTCCTAAAAAATATGGAAGATTTATTTCTGGGACATTGAAGGTAGGAGGAATTTTAATAGCTAATATAAGGAAAGGGTGGGTCAGTGTTCTGGAGGTCAAGAGGTGTCTTAGTCCCTTCAGGTTGCCATAACAAACACCATAAACTGAGTAGCTTACAAACAACAGAAGTTTATTTCTCATGGTTCTGGAGGATGAGAAGTCCAAGTGCCAACAAATTCAATGTCTGGTGAGGATCTGCATCCTGGTTCATTATTGACCATCTTTTTGCTATGTCTTCACATGGCAGGAGGTGCAAAGGATCTCTCTGGTACCTCTTTTATAACAACACTTCTCCCTTTTGATCTAATCACCTCCCAAATGCTCTGCCTTCTAATACTATTGCCTGGGACTTAGGTTTCAACACATGAACTTTCAGGGGACACAAATATTTATCTTTAGCCAGGATAATGGCAGCCATTTGTTCATCTTCTTTGTAGAAATGTGTGATCATAATGTGAGTCAAAGAGCCTGAGCATTGTGAACCAGGATGGTGGAAATTTGAGGTTGCTACATGCAGATCAGTTATGTCTGGATTCTCCTGATGGCTTTGCTTAAATGAGATCACTCAGACATTCAAGCTGATCACTCAAGGTGCTTCATTTTAGCAATGGCTCAGAGAAGAATGGAATGTTGGAAAAACAATCTTTGTGGTTAGGAAGTGACTTATTTATGGTACAACCAAAGGATGGAAGATGATATACATTATGATAGAACATGAGGCAAAGCAGACCAAAGATGGGGACAATAGGAGAGCCACAGCAAATTTGGCAGCTTTTCTAGCCACCTGCCATGTTAGATATTCCTAGGTGTGGAAAAGAGGGCATGATGTGACAGTAGCCACAGACTGATGGCCAGGGAAGACATGCTAGGAAATATCAAAGTTGGAGTCATTCTTTAGTGTCTAGACCATATTTTTTAGTCATTTCCAACAGAGTCATTGGTGTGGTTACTAAATCTATCCCATGAGCCATAGATTTCTTAGAGTCTAACTGGAGCTGGCACCATTTAATTGCCTTTATACTTTGTGTAATGGGGTTTGCTGGCCTGTCTGAGTACAGATTTATGTTGGTACTGATGAGAGCAAGGGATGGTTCCTTGTATTTTTTCTGTGCAAGGCAGATGTTTGATTATGCCAAGCTGATATTTACTGGTTTCACCAGGGTTTGGGAAACCACATCCAACTAAACTGTGCTGAGACTTCAAACTTGCTTCTGGGTGTGCACTTACTGTTTTTTGATTGTGATTTTAAAAGAGAAAAAACAACATAAATATTACATCTCCAAATGATACTTCTTTGTCCTTGTTTTAACAACTGTGAACTGTTGCTCTTTATGCCTGGAAGAGCTACAGGGAATAAATCTATCTCATTTCTGTGGGTGCCTGGGCAGACTGGAATTTAAGGAAGGGAGAGTGAGGTGGGAAAATGTGTATACTCCAGGTATTCTCAATTTCATCATGAGTTCTAGGCCAGGTGTTGGCTTAGGTCAGCTGGCTTGAAAGGTACATCTTCGGTCCCATGGAAGTATGAATAAAAAAGGATAGTGATTACAGTAAAAACTCAGCATGCTGTGGGAAAACTGTTTATTCCACCAATGGTGGGTGAATATTATATTCTCCATATTTAAAGACCGGCTTGTAGCATATCTTCACATTCACTTACGTATATACTTATATATACAATGTCCTAATGTATACTTTTCTGTAACAGTAGAAGTAGATTTGCCTAAAGTTACATCAAAATGACCCCCAAAGTCTTACTATCCATATAGGAGTGCATTAGGATGACAAGGGAATTCTTGGATTTGGGCCCAATCATACCTGTGTCAACATCCTAATGTGTGAACACTTAGTAGTCATGTCATGTGACCTAAATGAATTTATTTAGAAAAAAACCTTGTTAAATTTTATTTTAAAAGTGAAGATAAAAAAATATTCACTCAACAGAATTATGTTGACATTAGACAAGTTAATTTGTATAAAGAGCCTGTAATATAATACTTATTGGATAAACTCTTATTTATATTGTCTTAATAGTTCCCCTCACACCCAAAGCAGAAAAACCCCAGGGATAATCTTATTTCTATATGCAATTTCTGGGAGAGAGAGAGAGATGATGACCTGACCACTGGAAAATAAACTGGGTCATACAGCTGCCCCAAAGGAGTATGATCTTTAAATTAACCACCCTGAGAAAATGTCTCTCTTAAAGATTCAACTTACATAGTAATACCGGATCATCAGTACTTGCCTCTCCTTCTGGTGTTTATATGATCCTTCTCATGAATCTTAGAGCTAAGTCCACATTTGAGTGATTTATGTAAGACTTTTCTGTTCCATATACACCGACCAAGGTCTTGGGGAATGCGGTGATTTGTCAAACAGTGAGAACACTATGAAGGAGTCTCTCCATGAGTTGACACTCCTGGACAGGTCTTCACCTCTCTGCTACCACTGATTACTGAAATGAGTTGGGCCTAAGAGTTTGCTGGTCTCTTCTGCCTAATACAGCTAAATGCAGATCAGATAATCCAGGCGTGTGTGTGTGTGTGTGTGTGTGTGTGTGTGTGTGTGTGTGTGTGTGTGTGTCTATGCTTGCCTGACCAGTGTAGATTTCAGAGTATGCACATAAAGGCATGGAAGAGATGGAGAGAAACTCCTCCTTATATTCTTTCTTTTTCATTTTTAATTTCTTAAAACAAAGAGGCACCATCTGGCTCATGCATAAGTGGTATGCAAACGATTTGCAAAGGTGAACTGCCTAATTTCCTGTTATACATTTAGAGAAAGAAAACAAACATCTCTGTACCAGAGCACCAGAGCGATTTGTTCTCTCTCTTGAGATGTTCATAACAACAGACATCTTTTGCTTCTATGGATCACTGAGTCAGTGCTTCCAAGATTACCTTTAAACTGGTTTTGACAAGGGTAGGATTTTGGTACCATTATACCTTTCTCAGAACATCAGAAAACACTAAGAAATTGGCAGCCAAGTTTAGAATTAAAGTTTCAAACGTCCTGAAGAGGAGATTAGGATCCCAGAATACCAAATGTTTTCAGATGTTTTGATTTTGCAGGTAGAAACGGGGAGGGAGTGATATGCTGAAATCAGGGAGAAATGAGATTGGAGGGGACTGGCGCTCTGATCTTGCTGATCCAGAAGGACAGGAGTGTGCTTTTCTGTTCACCCTGCTCTTCCTGTGTGCCCAGCACAGTAAAGTCAGAAAAGGAGTCAGGCAGTAAGTGGGTTAGATCAGCTCGAGGGGAATGGAGGCAATCAGTTGCCCACCAAGGTGAGGTGAGCCTTTGGAGATGATGTGGAATCCAGCAGCAGGTTCAGGAGCAAGCTGTGTCCAGCAAGTAGATGCAGTATCTGGGGAGAATGTTCAGAGGTGGCAAATGAGTGGTGGTCTGAGACAGGGATGACCCACTTATGGTCAAAAGTGGCCTTCTAGTAAGGATGAAGCCAAGAGGCCCACTCTGGTACCCCTCTTCCCTGCCCAGATGACGAGTTCTGAGCCCACTGAGGCAGAGAAGCCAGGTAGATGCAGATTATAATATTCACTTGAAGTATTAAGAAGGTTGAAATGCCTTTTATAACAAATCCATTCTTGTGATAACAAACCCCCTCCCATGATAATACCATAATCCATTCATGAAGACAGAGCACTTGCGATCTGATCATCTCTTAAAGGTCCCACCTCTCTCTCAACGCTGTAGCATTGGGGATTAAGTTTAGAGCACATGAACTTTGAGGGACACATTTAAACCTATTATTATTATTATTATTACTACTACTACTACTACTACTACCACCATTAAACTGGGTATGTTTAAACCTGTTACTATTATTGGAGCTAAAATATCAATGCCTTTTCCAATCCGTCTCTCAAAATGAGCATTCTGAAGAAAGTTGACCTAAGTGCCTTAGTTAAGGTAGGCCAACTGCTGTATCAAATAGATACAAAAATATATAATGGTTCCAACACCAATAGAAGCTCATTTTCTAGGTCACATAACAGTGTGAGCATGTGAACTCATTGGAGGAGTAGCCCTCCTCCACACAGTCATTCAGACTA